TTTCTGTAAAAAATAGTCTACCATTTTGCTGGCTACTGGAAAATAATAAGCAGAGAAGCATATTTTTAAAACTATGCAAAAGATAACTAATGAAACAAAGTGTTCTGGTTAATTCTTTATTTTCAACATCAAATACATTGATAAAAATCTTGCACCAATCAGGTAGCCTACTGGATTTTTCATTTAGACTTTTTTAGAACTTTTTTAGGTGCAAAACAAAGGAAAAAAAAAAAACTCTCCAAAACAAAGACATCAATAGTTTTATATGCATCAGTGAAAGAACGGAATACTTCAACAAATACATTATGGCAGCTGAGCCTATACCAAAGAAAGGACTTTCCATTGACAAGACTACATAGTGCACACAAAAGCATGAGTTTTATAGTATATACAATAAGGTGATACATAAAGTGGCTTGTTAATGCGAATCTCAAGACCAGCAATCTATCCCTTCATTTTCCAATGGGCACTTTCTGAAGAAACAGACTTCTAATTATAGGCACACAGGAGTACAGAGCATACTAATTTGCAAGATGGCAGCATATACATTTGTTTGTTTCTTTCTTTCTTTAGGCACATTTGAATGCAAAAGATATTTTTTTAGATTTTTTTTTTTTTTACCACAGTGCAAAACCGAATACCCTTATGGGCAACAATCACTTTGAAAACAACTTTCAGGATATAAGGCTATCTACATTTGAAAGATGAAAGGGAATTGCAAGTAGAAAGGGTAGGACATTAATATTAGGGAAACATTAATTTAAAATTATCAGATCAATTTAAGATTATGCTATAGTTGCAGGTGACTGCAAAGACAGGTTTGTATTACAATACCATTGTTAACATGACCCTTCTTTTACACGTGTTGAATTTCTATCTGTAAAGCTATATTATGGTTGTAGATAGCATTGAAAATAGCCATCTCTTTATTCAAAGTAAGAAGTGCATTTCACATCATAAATTCAGCTGAGAATACCTTATATACAAAATCCCATTATCTTTAGGTCGGGTTGCATTCTAATTTTAAAGCAGGATGTTATATACACAAGAGAGGCTTGCTGTGTTCCTACCAAAGCCTGTGATAAGTCTAAGGCCCTAGTGAGGCAGAATTTTTATGATGCTGGTAGTTTGTTTCATTTTAAACATTTGGCACAACTCTTAAGAAATCAGTAGGCATCAGTTGGAATGGATGGATGGAGGCTCCAATACAAACCCTGGCTTGGATGAAGGGAGTGGTTTGGGTTTTCTTTTTTTTCAATTTAAAGTCCAGTGACCTGCTGACAGTGCTTGCAATGTCCTTGGGAGCTCAGTTCAGATTATTTCTTTAATTATATTTTTAAATTATTAAACCCCTCAGTGTACAGAAGGAGAAAAATCATCAAGAGATGTCACTGAAACGTAATAGTAAATTTACCACAAACACACACCAAGAAACTCTCATTAAATTATTTTGCCTCAGTACAAATCCTACTGCCCCACCAGGGAGTTTTACCTGAGACAAAGTCTGCAACATGGAGACATGGCGCAAACCACTAGAAACCAGAGTAGCTTTCACATACTGTTGGAAACTAAGACACCACTAAGTGCTACACATCACCCTATCTCCTCTCCTGCCTCCCAAGCTTTTTGTAATAATTCAGTAACAACCATATTCTCAAGTAGAACAAGTTCACCTGGTCTATTTCTTTTTGGCTTGCGCTGGTATTACATTGCCCATGTTTCTAGGGGTTTTTTTGGTTTTTTGCCTTTTTTTTGTTTTAAAAATCCACGTATAAACATTATAAAATAATTCTTTCATTAGCTGTCCAGAGACATCACTATGAATGTTTTGGTAAAAGCATAATTAGCTGCCTTGAATAGTTTTCTTTCAATTTTTTTTTTTACATGCTATATATTTTTATTTAATATCCAGCACCAGGTATTCAAGTAGTACTGGTTTGTCAGCTGCAAATATAAAGTATATATGTATATATACACACACATAAAATAGCATCCTGTGAAATAACAATTACCAAATGTCAGGCACAATTATTTGTATACACAAGAGCATAATTCAGAATTACATATGAAAAAAGTTGCCATTTTTGTATCATAGACTTTGTTCAATCAATTGAATAGCTATATTCAGCTGTCTGATATGTGGACAATCATCTTTATAGATAACTACGGGAAGGTTACTATATTCATTAAGGTGTTGCTTCAATTAAAACCTCATTAACAAGTTAATGACACTGATCCTGGAACTGCCACAAGGTAAATGAATGTCTTTCTTACTAGGAATCACTGTTTTGCTTTCTTGGGTGCCCTTCACTGTTGTCACCACAAACATGGGAGGACTGGTTGAATCTAAATTACTTCCTTGCAAGTTCTGAGCCTAGGAAAGCATTCATAATTAAGATTGTGAGCTGACTGATTATTCCTTATGTTCCAAGGCACATTATGATACCCTTCTGTCTGCTGCAATACCACTTCAAATGACATTTATCCATCTTCACCGGGAAAATCTGTAGAGTGTAGTGGTACTTGCACTATCTATCTAAGTACCATCAGAATCTGACCCTCTGTTGTGAATTGCTCTCCATGAACTACTTTATTTTTGCTCTAGGCCAAATTTACACTTGAATTGATGTAATGACCTGTTCTGGTATGTAGGAAGGGAGGCATTCATTTAAACCAATTTGCCTTGCAGCTTATGAACTTGATCTGTGTGTTCTGTCATAGAGAAAACCAAGCTGCATGTACAGTATTTAAAGAGCAGCTCTAACACACACTGGGCTACAAGTGAATGACGATGGTGTAAGCACGTAAGTGTAACTACAGGGATTCCTGTGCTCCATTCAGATCTTAGCCTGCACTGATTTCAGGGCATTTATGATTTTTCTAACACATTTGAAAACCAGCTACTAAACAAAATGTGCACTTTCTCTCAAGGCATTTAGGAGCCCTCCAAAAGCCTTGAGGTACCAAATTTGCACACACACACACACACAAACACACACACACACTCTTACTGAATACACAAAAAGACAAATCCTTCAGCACATTCAGAAAAAAAAAATGACACTATAATATGCATCAATAAAAGGCCTATTAACTTACAGTGACAGCTTCACATGTTTAGGCTTGCACAGTTCTCGAGGAATCTTCTCAAATGTAGGTAGCATCTAGCTTTAGACTTTTAAACTGCGTGTATGCTCGGATATGTACATGAAACTGTTACAGACATCATTATGTACATTCACTAAAGAATCAAATCCTTGACTTGGAGCACAAACTCGTCCTATGCCTTACTGCCTTCACAATTGCTATGTAACTTGGTCTCACTGCACACAAACTCTGCTTGTGTAACAGGGAGCGTAATTAGACATAGGCACTCCTGTACGGCATTAGTTGCACTGTTTCCTATATTTAGTTACTACAGGATATTCCAATCAACATAATCTAACATAAAGGTTTCAACTATAGCAGTAAAAGAAGCATCCCTGTACCCTTCTCTAGCACTGTGGACAGCTGCTGTGGAGCAACCTACACATGCGCTATGACACGTCTACTGGCAGGGTGGTCGCTTCCAACCAGCTATTGGAATAGTCCCTGGTCCATGCTAAATCCCTAACTGCACCTGTAAACCAGACATGCAGATAGCACAGGTGAAGTTTATCACTAGACTAATAAAATATCCCTGGAATATGTAATAATCTCATTCCAGTACCCAGCAACGTTCCCTGACACATTTAATTTTCTAGCGTAGAGGCAAACAGCAGCACCGACTCCTACTTTGAATAACACATAGTATGGATTTTTTCAGTCTCTCTCCTTCATGTCTTGCTGAAACTCTTGGTGTCAGTGGAGCTTTTGTATATTTACAGTTGGTCTGAAGAATCTGACTAATCCTTATGAAAAACAGTTACACACATGCATGGAGAAAGCCAGAATTATCTTCCTGGACATGCAGTCCCAGAGTCCTCACCATGTCTGAGGCTCATTGCCCAGTTCTGATGCCACAGGTGAGCTGGCTCTTAACAGTGATTTCTGAGCATGCCGCAACAAGAGCCAAAGAAAGCCAAGGCAATGCAAATCCTACTGCTCTGGCTGTGATGCCAGCCCTTCCATACACGGCTAGGCCACACTCTACTGAGTGGGATTGGACCATCCCACCCTACTGTGCCAGTCTTGCACTGGCATCCTCACCCCTTGGTTTGTAGCACAACAAAGCAAAGGACAGGAGGAGGTTTTTTTTATAAAATAGTGCTGGATCATGTATGTGTGTGAAGATTTTTTTTTAAGACCTGATGATTTTTGTAATCATCTGGTCTGATTTAAGAGTAACTATCTATGTTATCACTGTTTGCCATGTTGCCCTTGATTTACACGCTGCCAAGCAACAGAATGATTTAGCTTTGTGGGATCAGACAAGATAGGATGCACACAATGCAATTCGGCTAGTTATGGTAAGGGGACCTAAAAGTTTGGTCAGTATGATCTTGAGGAGTTGTCTGCTGATGTAAGCCAGCAAGGTGAAACAATATTATTCTCAGACAGTGGTTCCTTTCTACTGTAGGAAGAAGAGAAGCGGGAATCTACCTAAACTACCAAGGCAGTCACTAGCAGTGCAGTTTCACTATGGCACACGAAGATGCTAATCAGCTTTCCATTTACCCCTGCAAAAAAAGTAATCCAGAATCTCTACCAAACTGCTTCAAAGTTTCAAGCAAGTAAAGGATTAAGGGAGCTCAGAATTCGGGGCTGATATCAACAAAGGCTACCACTCATGAAGATACCAATACACATGGGTGGTATGACCTATTAATTTGTAGTAAAATGAATGTTTGGTTTAGATTAGGACTTACCCAACTTACATGCAAAATTAAATAAAAACACTGCAAAGTTAGCCTGACAATCCTTGCTGGCTGTCCATACCAATGAAATGTTTTCCATTTAGGATAAGCAATCAATTTAGGCAAGTGCTTGACAAACACTCAAGTGGAAAATGCAGGGGACTCGTCATTGGAGTGTTTACATAGGTGGCTCTATAGATGAAACGAAGCATGAGCTAGGTAGTACGCTGCTGGGTTTCTCATTATACATGCTGACTTTTGTTTATATTGTATTCTGCATATTATCCTCTTCTTTGCTGTTTATATAAAAAGACTGCAAGGAATGAGATGAAGCTGATGCAGTTGTCAGCTGGCTCCGGTTCTCCTCTTCCATTGGTGCAGCACTCCTGGATGCTGGGGCATGCAGTCGGTGAGCGTCCAGCATCTCCAGCAAAAGATCATAGAGCGGAACTACATTTTTACACTTCATATTGTACAGGTGCTCCATTCCTTTGTTGCTGTGGGTTATAACGAAACAATGGTTACTTTCCAAATATGCTATGGGAAAAAGAAGCTATCATCAGCTAATAATATTTGTTAGGTTCATATAAATTCCACCTTGTACAGAAGAACTAACTTAACAGTGCAGTTGGTGTACGCTTCTGCTACAGTTAGCAGAAGAAGGTACCATCAAGGACATTTCAGGCTGCCCATGAGCAAGTAGCCTCCTAAAGGTGACTCTTTTGCTCTCCTTTGCATAAAAGGTAGCCTAGAGCACATGGGCTCCTAATTCAGGCACTGTGACTAAGTGGATGGGATGAATCTTGGCTTTCCCATAATAAAACCTAAAATATCAGATTTTTTTCCTAGAAAATAACCTCAGTCAATTTGTTAACAAATGCCCACTTGTAATAATATCCATTCACAAAACTACGACAACAAAAATTAACTTCACCATGCATCTGAATCTTCCTTAATTGTACAAATTCTTCTTAAGGAAAAAAAAAAAAAAAAGATGATTAACATGAAGACAAAGAAGCTCCACAAAAAGACACAAGTAAAAAAAAAAAAAAACCACATGCACACACCTCTTGACTTTTTCCTGAAGACCTGTATATCAGCCCAGGAGCTAAAATCTGCATGTTTCAGCTTTAGTAGCTATGATATGGTGCTTACTCTAGTTTTAATTTTATTAACTGAAATAATGAAAATTAAAATCTGTGTAACAACATCTCTTGTCCCTTCATAAAAATAAAATCTGTACCGTATCTTTGTATGGACTTGTCATGTTGTTAACACTCCAGTCACTGAGGAGCTGCCTTAAGAGGTAATTACATTTGGGAGAATCATTGCTGTGACTACTAACAGAGTGCCACAGACACCTCACCTCTACTTAGCAAAGGGTACAGTCCTCTAGATTGGAGTTCAGTAGGTCTGCATTTATCCTCACCCATAGAATACACATAATGATCCTAATCTCTTTTCTGAAGTGATTTGTAATATCAAGCCACTTGTGAAAAGTGGCTACTTAAAAGTGATAGTTTTATTAAATCTTATCTTATAGGAGACTAATGTTTGCAGAACTAGGCTACTGCTACATTAGTATTCTACTTGGTACTTTTCAAACAGAATACAAGATGCACACAACATTAAAAGTAGATACTGCTTACAGCACTATCAAAACAAGAAGAAAAGGAAAAGAAAACTAGAAGAAACAAATGGGGAAAACATTTACTCCTTTCACACCATAATCCAATGTACTGTTTTGCACACGTTCCATACATCTTTACGGAAAGTAGACTTTTTTTTTTTTTTTTGTAACAGCTCTACACACAGTTTGCCCCCCCCCCTGGGAAGGAAAAGCGGGGGCATGCATTTGTGAAACGTCCC